TTTGGTTTCTTGTTCCCATGTGTCATGAACCTTCCTGCTGCAGGGCCTTTGTGATACTTAGAACCATCTTTATCCTTAAATGTCACTTTCTAAGGAAAGCCTCCTTTCACCACCCAATTTAGGTTGAATCTTCCTATTATAATTAGCTTGACCTTGTCCTTTTCCCATAAAGTTTATCCAAATTATTTTTAAAATAAATATACAATTTTATAATGTAATATCTCTTGGGCATTAAGGTCCATAATTAGGATTATGTATATGCCTTGCAGGCCTTGGGTGTATTCCTTTGTGTACATTTGTATATTTATGTACGAATGTACCCCGGATTTATTTGTATGTAAAGATTACGATAATGGCCACCACTTGCATGTTCACCGTGTATTAAACACTATGCTGACAGTTTTGTGTGCATTACCTAATCTGTATACTAATCCTAGGAAATAGAGCATTATCTCATTTTATAGATGAAAATACCAGGCTTAAACAAGTTAAAATACTACCCAAAACCATACAGCTAATTAGCAGGATAGGTAGAATTCAAACAGTTCTATCTGACCCCAGAGCCTATACTCTTAATTACACTCTACCACCAAAATGACTTAAGTATGTATATTAGTTTGCTAGGGCTACCATAATAAAGTAGCACAAACTGGATAGCTTAAAAAAACAGAAGTTTATCGTTTCACAGTTCTGGAGGCTAGAAGTTGAAGGCCAAAAACAGGATTGGTTCCTTCTGAGGGCTGTGAGGGAGAATCTGTCCCATACCTCTCCTAGGTTCTGTTGTTTTGCTGGCAATCCTTGATGTTCCTTGGCTTGCAGATGTAATACTCCCTTCTCTCTCCGTGTTCATATGTCACTGTCCCTGTCTGCATGTCTCTGTCCACATTTCCCTTTTTTAAAAGGGCACCAGTCATATCCAATTAGGATTCACATTAATGATCTAATTTTAACTTGATTACCTCCAGAGTGGGGGGTTCCTGCTCTGCCTCTGCCTATTCCTACCCCAATTTTAAAAAAAGACCTTATCTCTAAATAAGGTCATATGCTGAGGTAGAGGTAGTGGAGTTTAGGATTCCAATGTATCTTTTGAGGGAGACACAATTGAACCATAACAGTATGTATGTAAAATTTCTAAAAATATGTGCACACACATGTGTGTATGTGTGGGGTTTTTTTCTTTCTCTTTTAGCCCATCATACCTTTTGCAGTTTAATATGGGGCATATTGAAGTCTTTCTGCAAAGGTAAGATCATTTGCATGGCATCTCAGAATTAAGTAGTAGTACCAGAATAGTCCTTTGTCAAGATCAGGGGAGAGTACCTTCTCTTTGCCAGGCCTTAATTAATTAATTGGTTATTTTATAAAACAGTGAAGCAAATATGCACAACAGAAACAGAAATGACTCACAAAGGTTATACATCAAAATCTTTTATTTTAAATCCAAGATAATATAAAAATAATGTCTTATAAGGAGATTTCCAGTCTTCTGCTTCTGAGGTTTCTTGCCTTATTTCAAAAGTTGGTAATTTAAAATACCTCTATTCCACTATAGTCTCCTCCATCTAAGGAAGAGTGGTCAGTAAAATCAGTTAATCCTTGTTTTTGCTTCATGGATACAATCTGAACTGCTTCAAAAGGAAGGGGGTGTCTGGAGTCCATCTGTTAAAACTTAAGATTATTGACAGTGGTAATGTTCAACTTTTTTCATTTGAGACACTAAGCAGCAAGACTTTCTCTTTTAAAAAATTACAAAGTAATGGATATTTAAGAATTTTGCAGAACTCTATATGCTTTGTTTCCTCTCCTATATCATGTTTAAAGTATCTCTTGAGGTCAGGGCCTTTCAGTACTATCCTCTAGGAACACTAGTGACAGTTAACCCCATCTCTTCCCAGGTGAAGGAAAATTTGTAACATGGCAAATATCCAAGCTTCAGCCTACAAGGCAGGAGTTTCCAAGGGTCTCCTGGCCCAAGTGGTTGTTAACTCTAAATTTACTGTATTATGTATGTCTTAATGATTTTACATTCTTTTTATTTAGTTTTTGTTATATTCATACAATGAGAATATGTAAATCTTAAGTCTATATTCTTAAGATTTCCAAACTGTTTAGTCGCTGAGCTGAAAACATAACACTCCTGACTACTTGCATGAGATACTTTTTTTGCCACAATTGTTAAATATTTAGTTAACAATGATTGTAAACCTTTTTAAAAATATTATCAAAAATGAAAAGCATTTACTTTTTTGTATAAAAAGAACGGAAAGATTTTATGGATTAACCAAATTAAATACAATATACTGTATCAGGTATAACTGATATCTTACTACTTACTATTTGAAGATCTATTGGTTTGATACCAGGAAATGAGCCCTGAGTGGGCTGGTTTGGGTCATGTTTAGCTGTCAGTAACCAAATCAAAACAAAGATGGATTAAGAATGTTGACTGCTTTTTTTATCAGAATTTCTCCGTAATGATACATATTTTTAAGGTGTTTAAATTTCAGTTTTTGGTTTATTTTTCCTAAAATGAAGAATCATTCTAAAGAAATATAGAAAATCATGTCAGTAAATTTTAATATTCTCTTCCAGAACAGAAGAGTCTGTTTTCTCCAAAGGACTGGTAAGATTTGTTTGTACCCATCATAATTTAATTACATAGTCATGTCAACAAATACAGCTGTTGGCTTTACCATATACAGGGGTGGGCAAAAGTGGGTTTACAGTTATAATACAAATAAATAATACAATAATTAATGAATAATAATAATACAAGAAGCCCGGCTGGGTGTGGCTCAGCGTTTTAGCATCAACCTAGGATCCAGAAGATCATGGTTCGATTGCAGGCTCAATCCCCAGTTGGGGGCATGCAGGAGGCTCATCATTGATATTTCTCTCTCTCCCCCCTCCTCCCTTCCTCTTAATTTAAATAAATAATAATACAAGAGTAAACTCTGTTTTGTGTACACAACTGTAAATCTCCTTTTGCCCACCCCTGTCTGTACTTATGACTATATTTTAATTTGTAGGATCTTTTGGAGACTAGTTTGTTGAGAATGGAAGACAACAGTCTACTTCACCAGTACTTAGAAATCAAGAGTTTTCTTACTGTACCGCAGGTAAGTGAAATGTGGATTCTAATCTTAAAAATAACCCCTTCCCTGTTCTGAGTTTAAGCAAAGGTCTTTTCAAACTCCTCTCCTACCTTCTCCATACAGATCTTCTGAAAACTTCAGTGCCATGCTGTCCAATAGAACTTTCTGCGATGGTGAAAGTGCTCTGTTATCTATACGGGACAGTATGAAAGCCACTAGCCACACTGAACACTTGAAATGTGGCTAGTATGACTAGGAACTAAATTTTAAATTTAATGTAATTTAAATTATTTAAACTTAAATTTGTTATATGTGGCTAGTGCCTACCGTAGTTGACAGCATTAGCATCTAGTGGAAGAACATAACTTTCTTCTTTAACACTTTGTTTCTTTAGGGACCTTGGAAAATGAAGCTCCTTTACTTTTATTACAATTCAAGTCCTCAGGGCTTCATCAAGGCATGCGTTGACTCCTTACTAAAAAAAATTTTATTTTTTCCTCCTAGGATATATTTTGCCTAGTTCTGTTTGTTGTCACAGCCAAGTAGGTCTTTAGATGTCAATGTAGAGACTTGTTCTTCCACCACTTAAATAGAAAAACATGGCTTTTGTTAGTACATTAAGCCTAAATTTTATTTTATTTTTTAATACTGTTTTTGTTAATCCTCACCCAAGGGTATTTTCCATTGATTTTTAGAGAGTGGAAGGGAAGGAAGTGGGGAGGGGGAGAGAGAGAGAGAGAAAGAGACATCAGTGTGAGAGAGACACATCGATTGGTGGCCTCCCACACTTGCCCCAACCAGGGCCTGGAATCAAACCTACAGCCCTGTGCCCTTGACTGGAAATTGAACCTGCGACCCTTCAGTCATCAGGCCGACGCTCTGACCGCTGAGAACACCGACAAGGGCTAAGCCTAAATATTTTTAATGATGGATTATATTTCTGCATGTTTGGTATCGTGTTTTGACCACTGAAGACATAATTGAAAATTAGCATTCACTTCTAAATTTTCAACTCTGCAACACCCCACTGAATATCACTTTCAAAATAGGTTATACTTAGCTTCCTATAGACATAACAGTGGAATGAAAGGCTTGGGGGAAAATTCATTTTTAAATTGCCTACTCTCACTTCTCTGAATTTTTAGTATCTACCATTGATGATATAGTTGTTTCTTTGTGGTCAATGTAATCTAGTCACATCTGAATTAACAATTTTTTTTTATTTCCAGGGCTTAGTCAAAGTAATGACGCTTTGCCCTGATGAGACATTGGTATGTAAATGTTTTTGGACTAAATAATGAGTTACAGTGAGATATTTTAATAAACAATTTAATCTTTATTCAGTTTATTTAACAATATGATTTCTTCTATTTTAGAGGAAAAAGGGTTTGGCTATGCTTCAGCTGTATATTAACAAGTTGGATTTTCAAGGCAAATATACCTTATTTAGGTATGTATCATACAAGACTGGTCAATTGTGAAGTGTGTGGTTGATTGAAAACCAAATTAATGCCATTTAATTATTCCAGGTTACAGTATTTCAGTATTTTTTTTTTTTTGGTCTTGTTTTGTTCTGTTTTTAATACATCTTTTATTGATTTCAGCGAGAGGAAGGGAGAGGGAGAGAGAGAGATAGAAACATCAATGATGAGAGAGTCATTGATCGAGCCCGCAACCCGGGCATGTGCCCTGACCGGGAATCGAACCCCAGTCTCCTGGATCCTAGGTCAATGCTCAACTTCTGAGCCATGCCTGGCTGGGCAGTATTTCAGTATGTTTTATGTGTAATTCATCTCCACTTGTATGACATATTATAATACTCGTATCTGATGGAGAGAGAAGGGTTAATTAAATATTACGGATACATATATATTTACATATAATTACATGAATAATATATTTTTTATTCAGTTAATTAAATTACTCTAAAACCAAAGAAGACTTAAAAGAGTAAACGGATTGATAAGGCTCCTGCTAGATCTTTACATATGTCAATAATTTCCATTATTCACAGTTGAAATTAATGGCTCTGGAGTCATTGATAGACTATTCACTGTACGTTAACAGTAGAACTTATTAATAGTGCTGTTTGAGGGGAAAGGTAACTTTCTGAGTTAAAGAAGAGCCAATTTTGCGCTGACCAGTGTGGCTCGGTTGGTTAGAGCATCATCCTGTGCACCAAAAGGTGGCAGGTTCGATTCCTGGTCAGGACACATGCCAGAGTTGTGGGCCTGATCTCCAGCTGGTGATCGTGGAGGAAGCAGCCAATTAATGTTTCTCTCTCATATTGATGTTTCTCTCCCCCCCCCAAAAAAAAATTAAAAAAAAAAAGCAAGTTTTCTGTAAAAGGCCAAATAGTAAATATAGGCTTTATGTGCCAGTCTCTATTTCAACTGCTCAATTTTGTCTTTGTAGTGAAGGTTCCAGTAAAATAGTCAGCATGCTGAATTTGGCCTGCAGAACTTATTTTATTGACACCTAGGTAATAAAAATCAGTTAAGTTAAAAACAGATTTGGGCATTGTTAAAGTGCTAGGAAGTCGTCTTTTCTTCATTTCTATTGATAGATTCAAAGCAGGTTTATGAAATCTCAATTTTTGTATTCCTACCAAGAAATCCCCCTTTTTCCTTAAGCTAGTCAGATTGAGTTTCCTTTCTTTGCAATTAAATTAGTCTAACCAGACTAGTTACTTTCACAGGGAATAATTTGGGGAGTTTCTAGGTAATTATACTAGTGCTCATTCTTGCCATATTAAATCATTGCAAATATATGCATAAAAAGTTTCAAATTCAATTTGATAGAAGCTTCTTGTTGGAAAAATCCAGTTAAAATAGAATTTACTAGTCAGAGCAATAACCGTAATAGGTGACTTTGTAATTGGTTAACCACCTTGCTGATTGTCTTCACTGGTTTGTGTATTCCTAGAAATAACACATGGCCCATTTGAATTTGTAAAATTTGTGTCATCATTGTAATATAGTCCAGGAGAATTTCAAATGCATTGTAATTTTGCTTTCAAGGTGCTTATTGAGTACAAGTAATCACTCAGGTGTGGAGGCCTTCATTATTCAAAATATCAAAAATCAAATTGACGTATCATTAAAGGTAAGAGCATAGCTAAGGTATTAATTATCAATTTATTTATTTTGTAGGATATATTTATTTGTGGAATACATTAATGTGGATTTTGCCCTATGGATTTTTTCTATTTCTAGTATTAGGGTATTTTTTTCTTCATTTCCACTGTTTGTATTTTTAAAACCTTAATTTTGAAACTTCTTTAATTATAGATTTAAATTGTGTTCTTTATGCTGATAACACGACTTCTTTTTGTTTTGCTTCTGAAATAGTAATGGAAACTGAAGTCTAATCTGTTTGTGAATACTCAGTGATTCCATATAGAAAAGAAAGAGAGAAAGAATGCACCAGTGTTCACAAACTGGCAGTTTGTTCTAGGTGTCTGGAAATAGTAAAGGACAGAATGGAAATTAAAGTTAAAAAATATGTATTTTAAATGTGTAATAGTTTCTTTTTGTAGTATCATGATGTTAGAAAACACATTTATTAAGACCTCTCTCAGTTTTTCTTTTGCTTTACAGAGAACACATAACAAATGGTTTACGGGACCACAGCTAATTTCCCTTCTAGATTTGGTACTCTTTCTCCCAGAGGGTGCTGAATCAGATCTACTGCAAAACTCAGATAGGTGAGGTGATCATTACTAAGGTTCACATAGTAAACTGAGAGTAAACTGTATTTTCCTATGATTTTATGTGATCTATTGTTAATTCCTAAAATTACATAAAGATTTTAATATTTAATTAGGTACTATGTAAAAACATAATAAAAAATCCTTTCTAGAAGTATGACCAACTGTATTATTTTGTACCTGTAACATACCTAGCATTTCAGTACAGTTAACAGATTTACAACTACAGCATTGCTGACTAAAAATTAGGCATTTCACGTGTACAACTTATACAAAGCGTATGCGTTTAGGTTTTATTTTGTTTTCTAGCACGTTTTTTCATATAGAGCATGTAATCGCACTTTCATTATACTTGAGTGGATTTTGAGGAATGATTATAAGCATTTATAAAAGGAAACTTAAAGTTCAGGAAGCAGCAGATGATAAATATTAAGGATAACAAGGCTTCCTTGGGGGAAAAAAAGAATAGTATTTTTCACAGCTGTATTTTGTGAACTTGGAGAACAGGAGTGATGAGTTACTACTTCTCCAAAAGCTATGGTAAAGAGGATACGTAATTACACAGATTTCAACTGTGCAGAGTTTGGCAACCCTAACCCCTGCATTGTTCAAGGGTCAATTGTACTTTTAAAGGCAAACATAATTATACAAATATACCCTAGGTATTAGCTTACTTTATTCATTGAAATAGCTGTTGATTTTTTAAAACTGTACTATGAGTAACAAATTCTATATTTTTAATTAACAGGATAATGGCTTCATTAAATTTATTGAGGTATTTGGTTATCAAAGATAATGAAAGTGACAATCAAGTAAGTAAATTTTTTGAAAAAGAAACTGTGAGTATATTCAAAATACATAAGGAGTGTTTCAGATTTTCATATCAATATCTACTTATGCTAGTGTTTCATATCTTGCTCAGCCACAGAGGCTGGAGAAAGTGCGAACAGTTATTCTGAACTCTGAAGTTAATTCCCACATCCAGCTTCCCTTTCTTTTTCCTGTTGTACTTCTGCTCTCTTGCTCTAAGCAGTGCATAGACCTGGTAGGTAGGTAAGTTTGAAGCCCTAAGTCAACTAATCTTTTGGAGCTCAACATATACTTGGGTATCTTGTTCAGCTGCCTCCACCTCCAAGTCATGATTTCAGTCTGAGATGTATAAAACCATCTGATAATTTGAAGTCCCCTCATCAGACACGACAAACTGAAGCATTTTCAGCACTAAAACCTGTTAACAGCACCTTTGAATAAAGTGTAGGATGTGGGATTTGTTTTCAGTAGTGCATCATTAGAGGTGTTCAAGAAATAGAAAACTATTTGAGGGAGATGTGTCATACACTAGAATTATATTTGCTTTATACCTTCTTTTTCACCCACTCTGTTCTAATAGTTGCTTTCCCTGTGTGTCATGTCTGTTAACTACACGAATCACTTGTTTATCTGTTTCTTTTTTAGAAATAAAAGAAATGAAAGTAACTGACTTTTTATAAAATGACGGAGAATTTGTTTTTAAAAATTTAAGTAAATTGTGATTTGTTATGAAAAGTACATGAGAGAGGTAGCAGTTTGCTTCCCTTTTGATGAAATCTGGTCCATTCAGTGGTTTGACCTCCTATTCATCATCCCTCGCCAGCCTAGCATAGTTATGTGCTCTCTGCACCACGGTGCTTTCTTTTCTAACATTGTATTGTGAAAATTTTCAAACGTACAGCCAAATTGAAAGGATGTTAAAGCGATCACTGATTTTTAACAAATGGATAGAGGTGTATTACCCAAATCCTTATCAAATATAAAACATTACTGTCATCACTTGAAGTTCCATTTTCCTTCCCAGTTAATTCTGACCTCATCACTCCACACCTCTCCACACGCCCTGCCAGTGGAACCACTGTTCTGGCCAGGTGCTATATATCATTTATTCTTCATAATGCTCTAAGTACTTTTATTTTCTACTTTTCATAGGTAACATAGGCACAGGAAGGATCGTTAAGTTGCACAAGGACACATCTAGTGGCCACAACCTTTGAATCAAAAACTAAATCCTAACTGGTAAAGGAGCTTCTGATAAAAGTAGAAAAGATAAGTAAAATGCAACATCAGTGGAGGCCCTTCTTCAGGAAGGTGTCCTTAGGGTGAGGTATGAGTTTACTTTTTCAGTAATCCAGAAAGGCCATACCTACAGATGATCTGATTTGCCTGATTGGAAGACAAAGAATCTTCCTGATTAAGAGTTGATAGATTTAGCCCAGCCAGGCATGGCTAAGTGGTTGAGTGTCCGCCTAGGATCCAGGAGATCTAGGTTCGATTCCCAGTCAGGGCACATGCCCAGGTTTGTGGGCTTGCAGAGGCAGCCAGTCAATGACTCTCGTCATTGATGTTTGTATCTCTCTCTCTCCCTCTCCCTTCCTCTCTCTGAAATCAATAAAGATATATTTAAAAAAAAAAAAAGTTGATTTATCAGGTATGGAGCCTAGGGGGAGCAGATGGACCTCTGCCTAGAAATGGAAGACAGAGCAGTTTAGCATTGTGCAATGTCAGCTGTGATATTCACAGCTAATGCTTCACTGTTATTTGGCTTGAACATTATATGGTGAAGAAAAGGGTATAACCAGCTTGTAAGATTGTTTTCTTATTTAATGATTTAAAAAATTTTTCCTTAGAGATCAACTATTCCAAAATATTATTGCCATGCAAAGTACCATAAGAATTATCATATCAAGGAAATTAACAAAAAACCCAGTCTATGATGTCAAACTGACAGCTTTCAGGCAGCGTAAGAGCCTGTTCATCATGGAAGTGTTTCTCCTGAGTGCAACAGGTCGTGTGTATCAGTGAGAGGCAAAACTGTTTGCTATGGTTAATTAAAAAATGACAGCTTCTGAGTTTTTAGAAATTCTGATTAAAGGAGAAACAAAATACTCTAGTGATTCTGAATTGTGGGTAGTTCTATTCAAAAGGACTCCTACCAGTACTTGTTTTTGAGCAGTTAAGCATGCTGAGAAGGTAACTAGTCATATGAAAAGCAATTCAGAAAGGTGTATAGGAAAATTAAATAAGAATTGTTCAATACAAAACAAAGTGATTCATAATTGAATAATAATCCATTTCTTTTGCTGCTATTTTGGGTCACTGTCAGCTGACTTACTCTCTTCATGAGTCATTCCCCTCCTCATCCTACTATTTCATGTCTCTTTAACTCTGCATAAGTTATAGGCACCTTCTCCTGCACTTTGAACCTCCACCTCTACTGGTAGAACCAGCTTAGTTTTTATACCTAATGTTCTCTATTATTTGGGAGGTATCTTTAAATATGGGTTAGTTGTTTTGAATTGCAATAATACTCTAATTCATAGCCTATAATAATTGTATTAACCTTTGTCCTTTCTACTCATATCCTTCCCATCCGCCTTCTTACACCTATTCTTTTTCTTAAATAAGTTGTGATCATAATATGTAGAATGAAAGCAAAGTCAAGGGAGGCACTGTGAGGTAGTCAAGGCCATAAGTATCAGAAATTTTTAAAATTTGAGTTGTGTAATGTATGCATGTTTTTTATTTAGGAGAAAAACTAAGTATCTGGCACATATACATATAATTCTATATCATTCATATTTTGGGTTCTCATTTAAATTTTTTCTTTCTCCAAGATTAAAGCATGCCCCTTTTGTGTCATTTGCAGAGCCAATTTACTTCATAAATAACAAATCATATACAAATTGGGAGGAAGGGGGAAACTGGGTCTCATGAATTTCCTTCTTTTTATTTGTTCATTACCATGGTTGACAGTGTCCTTTGCAAGGTCCATATTTGTTCTGGCAGTAAATTTCATTGTGGTGTAGAACTGCCTAGTCTTCCTTTTGTGAGATAGGCTGCAGTGAATTTTGGAATATATAGTTAAGCTTTAGAACTGAAAAGATTTAAGAACTACTTCATCAGTGAGACTGCTTGGGTGAAAAAGCAAGCATGTGTGAGCATTTCAAATTTTTATCCTTTTGACTGTTTAAGATACTGAGTTACTTTTTCTAGACATTCAATCTTAAAATTATTTTCTTTGTAGTTTTTTTAGAAGATTTCGTAATCTTAATGTTAGAGAGAGAAATTTTTTTTTTTAATTTTTATTTTAGAGAGAGGGTGAGAAAGAAACATCAATTGGCTGCTGCCTGCATGCCCAGTACTGGGGATTGAGCCTGAAATCCTGGCATGTGCACTGACTGGGAATTGAACTGGTGACCTCTTGGTGCATGGGAAGATGCTCAGCCACTGAGCAACACCAGCTGGGGAAGAGAGAAAATATTCTTATTTCCATAGCTTCTTCACTCCTACATGCTTCTAAAAATACTACTGTTGTTCATCATATGAAAGACTGTGGAATTATGCTGAACAAAATGGGCAAAAAATTAGCCTAATTTTGGCATGTGGTTTTATTACCGTGTTTTAAGTTTTATGATTACGGGCTGTGTATTAAATTACTACCATTAAAAACAACTAAGGTCGTAATAAAGACCTAGATTTGTACTGTCCAATATAGTAGATAGTAGCCACATAGTACTATTTAGATTTTAAGTTAATTTTTAAATTTTAGTTAAAAATTCAGTTCCTCATTGGCATTGGACAGGGCCATTCTAGATCATTGTTTCTCAACAGATATTCCTAATCAAAATCACCTGGGTATTTTTTTTTTAGGTATATACAAATGCAAAGTTCTAGGTTCAGCCCCAAATCTTGTTAATGAAAGCCTATGCGTAAAGCACAGAAATCTGCATTTTTAACTTAGTTTGAGAACCTCTGCATATTATGAGTTATGAATAAAATCTATTTTAAAGATATGATAAAAGAATATCAACTATTTAGAACTGAATGATAACGAAATGCTATATGTTAAAACTTGTGGGATATGGCTAAGAGTGATACTTAAGGAAAAGTTTCCAGCTTTAAATGCTTGTATTAGAAAATAATATAAAATTATTAATGAATTTCCGGCAAGATTTCACAAATTTATGAAGACACATATGTTAAAAACAAGTATAATTAATACAGCACAGGTTGAAAAATAGTATGAAACTTACATGAAAACATACCAGTAAGTTTGAAAACTTAAGTGAAATGGAATATCTTAGAAAATATAACTTAAAACTATCACAATCTTAAGAGAAATCAGTCAAATAATTTCATCATAATTTCAAGAAACAGATAATCAAATTTTATATAAAATGTTGCAAAGGCTAGAAAAAGAATAGTTGTAACTAATGTTGTGAGTCTATTTAATAAGATATGACCTTAATACCAAAACAGACAAGAATAGTATGTACTAACAAGAAGACTGAAATAATGACATTTAAACTAAGACCTATTCAAGAAAAGAAAATGTGTACAAACTAAAAAAGTCACAGTGAGGGAGAAAAAATCTTCATCCCTCCATCTAATAATTAGTATAAAAAATACCTAAATAACTATAAAGCAAGAGAAACGACCACAAATCAGAAAAATAGGCAAAGGATACAGATATTGAACAGGCAACCAACAGATGAGGAAATCCAAATGGCTAATAACCACAAGGCCCAGTATCACTAGTGTTTATGGAAATACAACTTAAAACTTCAGTGAGATACCATTTCATACCCATCAGAATGACAAATATGAAAAAGGTGGATAGCATAGGTGAGGATATGGAACAGCAATGAAGCAAATTGGTATACTCCCTTTTGGAGAGCAATTTGGCATTATCCAATAAAGCTGAAGAATGACTACCCTGACTCACCACTCCTCCAATAGGTATATTATTTAGAGCCGTGTTCTTCAAACTTCTGATCATAACCAAACATATTGAGTCACTAAGTCAGTTCAGTGGGTCAGACCAGCAATTTTTACAAAATGGAATACTATATAATTGAAAATATTAGTTTGCTTGTACAGATTTTTAATAAAAGTTACGGATATTGCAACAAGTTTTGTGGCCAATTACAAAGAACAATGTGAGCAAGTGGAGAGGGAATACGACAAATTGTCTAGGACTAAGATGTTGTGTATTGCTTACCAACATCTCTTTTGATGTATTTAATGGTCAGTTTGACCATTACCAGAGGAGAAGAGCTAACACTGTACATTTTTATTTTTATAGTAATATAATATGTAGTTAGTTGTGAAGCTGTACCCACTGTCTGTAAAATTAAGTTTTACAATCAAATTATTTTAATAACCTATTTTCAGAATGAATTTTACTGAGGAAGATACTTGTTTTCTCAAATTCATGACAGTTGCAAAACTTTCATCTGGCATGTATAAAATTACACTCAATCTTTTTTATTAGGAGATAAAAAGAAGTAAAAAATACATAACCATGTTCAAGTTGAGCTGCTGATCTGAAACCGTAAATAGTGACAATATTCAGAAATATATTGACTCTGTAATTAGTAAACTTTGACTTCATTTGAGGCACATTTTAAAAAGAAAATATAAGACTTTAAAGATTATGTAAAATAGTTTCCTCAAAACTAAATGTCCAATGAAAATGAATATATTAGTAACTTTTTGGTGCATAGGATGATGCCCAACCAGCTGAGCCACATCAGCAATGGCTGTAATGTATTCTTCATTTCTGACTGGTACCAGAACATAAACTATTATATAAATTAATACTCTGATTCTCCACCCCTCCTACCAGTCTCAGTGTGGCAGCTGCTTTATAACCTTAGTTGTAGGACTTCTGTTCAGTGGATTTCAGGCAGTTCTGAACAGTTGTTCTATAGTTCGGTTGTAATTTTAATGTGGTCGTGGGAGGATTTAGGTACCGTGCTTACCTATGCCACCATCTTGACCAGAATTTCCTGTTTCCTTTTTTTTTTTTAACATAAGATATTTTCCTTGGTAAAGAGTACCTGGAAACTTAATACCAATAAACTGTATTTAGGACTTTATGACTCTCCTTCCTTAGTACTGTGGGAAGAAATGCTCTTGGAATAAAAACCTCTCATAGGTTTGACCAAATAAACCTAAGCTGTCCGAAGTAGGTAAAATCTCCATGTACATTTATCACCAAGAACATCCGTATCAGCTTTGTGTTAGAAAAGTTTCCATCAACAAGGAAAGAAAGAACCCTCTAGAACTAGGTCTGTGACAAGGGTATCAATGGAAAAATCAAGAGTTGAAGGAATATATAAGGTAGAGTCATTGTGGGAATGTTTATAGGGAAAGAGAAATGTCTTAGAACATGTGTATTATCCTCAGATAATTTTCTTATGGATAAAACTTCTTAGAGATCTCAAAACCTGGAGCTGCCCAAATGGCACAGCAGTGAGTGCACTGACCAAAGTGAAGTTTTGTTTTGATTAGTATTTGTGTAAAATAACTAGATGTAGTAATGGATGTATTAGTAAACAGTAAACTCTACCTGGAAAGACAATCTAATTGCTGAACCAAATAACTAATTCTTTCATTCATTCTTCTGAACAGACTGGATTATGGACAGAACTTGGAAAGATTGAGAATAATTTCTTAAAGCCCCTCCATACAGGACTTAATATGTCAAAAGCACATTATGAAGCAGAAATTAAAAATAGCCAAGAAAATAGCCAAGGTTGGTAATGTGCAATTTCATTTTTGCTTAGGTCTAAAAATTAGTCAGATTTTAAAACTGCAATTTATATTTAAAATACAGAACTTTTTAATCTTGCACTTGTCTAATTTATAGCAAACAAGGAACCATGACAGCTAAGTCATTTTATTTATAATTAAAATGATTCTTAGCAGATCTGTAAGCCAGTTAACACTGAAATTGGGTTAAAGATTTAAACCAAATTGAAACATATTCTGGTTTAAAAAATCTCAAGTCCTAGTTGGGAATCTAATTGTAATACAAGTGCTTCTGTTTGGATATCATTGTATTTCCTTAGGTATTGTTTGGTCCACCCATCCTCAAGTAAATCTTTACAAATTACAAAAAAGAATCTCGGGTCCAGAATTACTTTTTTTTTTTTTTAATCCTCACCCAAGGACATTTTTTCCATTGCTTTTCAGAGAGTGGAGAGAGAAACATCAATGTCAGAGAGACATCGATGAGTTGCCTCCCACATGCACCCCAACCAGGGCTGGGGATCAAACCTGCAACCAAGGAGCGTGCCCCTGACCAGGATGGAACCCGGGACCCTTCAGTTTGTGGGTTGATGCTCTAACCACTGAGCAAAATGGGCTAGGGCCAGAATTACTTTTTAAGGTCAGCAATTCTACTACAATAATCTTGTGATCATTTCCATATAACTATGGTAATATTTCTATAGGCATTATTAAATTTTTTTTTTTTGGTGTAATGTGTATAATTCTGATTATATACTGAAGAAAACGTTTATAAATTTTCATTCATGCTATACATGCCAAAATAATGCTAGTCACTTAGAGAAACATTAATTCACATGTTACAGAACTTTGATAGTTATATTTGCTAATAGCTTGATTTAAGCATATCCTGAGCTATTAAACTTAACTTATACAAATAACCGACATATTTTTTAAATAAGGGAATGATGAAAGTAACTTATAAATTTATTATTGAAACTTGAGAGTTGTTTTAATATTTAAACATGATAGGATTTTTTTTCTTTTCTTATAGAAGCCCAGAAGTGTAAAGATTTTTGTTCTGTAACTGTAGGTGGAGAAGAGATCCCTAATATGCCTCCTGAAATGCAGCTTAAGGTAGATCTAAAATTTTTCTGAGCTACTTCCACCTGAAGTCTTTTCTTTTTTTACTTTGTTTTGTTTTAAATGCAGACTTAACTCCAAATTTTCTTGGCATTGCAGGTCCTACATTCAGCACTTTTCACATTTGATTTGATTGAAAGTGTTCTGGCTCGAGTAGAAGAACTCATTGAAATAAAAACAAAGTCTACCTCTGAAGAAAATACTGGGATAAAGTGAAAGCTCCATCTCTTAAATAAAAATTAGTAAAATACTATATTTTCCATTATGATTTAATGCTTTTACAAAATTTTTCTGTAAAACACCAATAGAAAAATTAACGGTAGCTTTTCTCATGTTTCTGTAATGACACATTATATTATGGATGAGTGGTATTCTTTGGTTTTAAAAAGGTAATCTCCACGATAAATAATGCCCATATATAATAAATGCTACTGTTAAAGTTAATACAAATTAATAATTTTATATTACAATTTCATAAAATGTAGTTGAATTACCTTCATTCATATAGTTGTAATGAGTTTATAAAAATACTGATGCACTTTATGTTCGTTAGATGCTATGCTGCATTTTAGAACTAGTTTTAAATTGGATATCACTCCAATTCTTTCTAAACATTATTAAAAGAATTATTCAGCAAAACTCCTGAAAATAAAATCACTTCTAATTGTATATATTTTATTTAAAAGTTTTTAAATATTTAATGTAAATATATATTCAAACATTATAATTCAACCAGTCTTAAGTATTTTAATATTCTTCCAAAAGAACATTTATAATTGATACTCTAATTTGGGTTAAATGAGTCACTGAGATTTATCTTTTGAAGTGTTTTCCAGACAGGGCTTTGCTCAATGATATAAGCTTTAGTTGTTATCATTCTGTAACAGATGCTATCTATGTATGGTTTGGAGGTAATCTGGGAAAAGATAAAGATGTGCAACATTATTTACAGAAATAAGGTCTTTTTATAGGGGCACATAAAAAAAAATACCTAACTTTCAATTATTCAAGTATTGATCACTTTCTGTGTGCTAAATACTACATATGAGTCATTACAGTAATAGACACCTGATCTCTGTCTTTAAAGAATTTCAAACATACAAGCCAAAAAGTAGAATATGCTAAGAATTGCTTTAATGGAGATCTATTCCAAGTGAAGAGTAAGGAACACCTGCCTGCCTAGGGGAGTTGGGGGCACACTTCACACAGGAGGATAAGCATGAAAAGAAAGGAGACAACTGGTGGAGATCATTCTATGAAATAGTATGTTTACACTCTGACAGTTGATGACTACAACCTGACTAATATTTATACTTATAATTTCAAGGAAAATTTAAGTAACCAATATGGCCAACACTGGTTGGCCAAATGCTCTTTTGGCCTAAAATGAGTCATTTTGGTAGTGGCTACTGGAAATAAATTGAGAAGACTGGAGAGGCTGAGTTCAGGCTTGGGAAAGGGTTGCGTGCTGAAATAGCAACTTCTCTGAGGGGAACTGAAGCAGAGTATTTGTCAATCATGCCCAAGAGGGTGTGCATTTTCAAGTCAAGAAAAAAGTGTATTGAGCATGTGTATGTATGTATGTGTTATTTTCCTTAGGTAACTCACCTTAGCTAGAGTGCACATAAGATCAATAGCATTTACTGTGTTGTGTACTGGAAGTATCCGTAAGTTACTACCCAGGAATCTGAAAAACAATTCATAAGTTAAACAGATCATATGACTTTTACTAATGTGTTATCTTCAGTGGGAAAAAGAGACAAACTTCTTACTGCTTGTCTTTTGTTTCTTCATTCATGCCCTGCCTTATTTCACAGAGGAACTGATATGGCTTTGTAGTCAGAGCTTAAATGAATAAAAACTGTTTACTTTGGTTTAGTCTTGCAGGAGAATCCCAGAAATCAGCATGAACTTTGAAACTTGTCACCCTGATTCACAGAGTAGCCGTTTGGCCTGCATTTTATGAAAAGTAAGTCTAGTGCTCTTGCATACCTCTGCTGAATCCTGAACATCAGTTTCCATTCCTCAAGCCCATGGAGGGCAGCAGACAGAACCAAAAAACTATTTCGGTGAATGTTAATAAACTTCTCAATTTTGGCTAGGAATATTTCTTCAGCTGAAATAAAGCATTCTTTAGCATCCATCAATAAAAATGCAACTCCTAGGGAAGGTGAATGTAATATAAAACATCATTAAAATCAAATTTTTTTATAAACTCAGTAAGATCAATAAAAATAGCTCTTAAGTATAACATAGCTATTAAGTGTCCAGGCCCTAAACCATAAGGAGTAGAAATTACTACAACAAAATTCTTACACAACAAAATAATTTAGGTGGTTCTTTGGAGTGCTCTGTATAAAAGGATGACTTACTCTATATAGGGAGAAAAAACTTTTTTGGTCAGTAACCATTTTCTTTTTCAGACTAAGGCACAATGAGGGTAATGCCTAATTTTACTTAAAGGTTAACTTTCCATGTTACAATGATTTTTAAAAGCTGAAAATCAACTGAAGAAAGGTAGTCTTAAGCTTCCAATTATTTCTTGGAGAAACCTCTGTACCAGAACATAAACTATAATAAGCAGATACCTAGGATCTCTGGAACAGTATCAGGCCTATAAGAATGGTCCAGAAGAAAAACTGGACCTAATTAGCTCTTTAAAACACGATAAAATCAGTTCTCTAAAAGACATAATCTAAGGAAACTGATTATGCTAATTGAGGAACTTGGGCAATTAATCTCAACCTAAATTGCCTCATCTGTACAATTGGAATAATTCTTCAATAGGTTTGTTGAAAGGATTAAAGATTAGATACTGTATATAAAGTGGTGAAGGCACATAGTGGGATCACCAAACATTTTACTTCTCCCTAGAGGACTCTGTTCAACAGGGAATGATGAGTTTAAGGTAGGACTATGTTTAGCCTGGAAGCTTTTGAAACCACCTGTCTTCCAAAACATCTGCTGGAGTGTAAGTCCATTTGCAACCCTTCTAATAAAATCACCTGCACCTCTTTTTGTCACTTCTATCCTTTTCCAAGCACAAATATAATTGCCCCCTTCCCCAGCCTCATATCCTAATCTAATTCCTTCTGTACTTTGCCCATGACTCACAGTCACACAGTATTCTGACTTAAGGAACACTTGTGTGTCCCCATTTGGTTCTTTTAGTTAGTATTTATATTATATTCAGCATCTTGTACAAAATCATGAAAAATATTCTCCCATATTGTTTTTATGTGTGGGTTTTGACCAATACTGTGATGTTGGCTTCTTTGTTAATATGGGTAATACTTTAATAGAAGTATTGATTATAGGGAAGGTGGCTTTGTTCTATTTTCATCTTAGTTCCAAAGCAAGTAGTTTTTACCATCCTCTACCAGATTCCACTGGTTCAGCTTTAGTTCAACAACTGTAATCTTAAAAGGGGATATATTTTGTAATTGGCTATAAGTACTGCTTTTGCAGCAGCAACCAAGTTTTATACATTTACCTTTCAAAAGATAACACCTTAAGCTTATTACTTGGTTAATGAACTACCAAATTATTAGAACGTATACATACATATTTTATAAGAAACTTAAATCTTACAAGGCAGTTAGCAAATATACTGTACCAGTACGAGAAAATATAATTGATCCATTTTCCACTGAAGCTGAATACCGCACCTTGTGGCTTTGATTTTCTAGGGCAGTTGCAACTTCACAATGCTTTAAAAAAATTTTCAGAAATACAAACTTAAGACATGCTTAGAATAGTTTTTTATTAAAGCTAATATATTGCCCTGGCTGGTTTGGCTCAGTGGTTAGAGCATCAGCCTGTGGACTGAAGGGTCCCAGGTTCAATTTCAGCCAAGGACACATACCTCAGTTGCACGCTCGATCCCCGGCCCCAGGTGGGGTGTATGCAGGAGGCAACCAATCCATGTGTCTCATATTGATGTCTCTGTCTCTGTCTGTCTGTCTCTCTCTCTCTGTCTGTCTGTCTCTTTCTCCCCACCCTCCTTTCCCCTCTTTTTGAGAAGCAATGGAAAAAATAACCAAAGGCGAGGATTAAAAAATAGTTGATACATTAAAATAGCAGCTTCTTTTATAATTATACCACTTAAAGATTTGATCATCAAAAGACAGACTAAATGTTCTCTCTATGGAGAAAAACATTAAAAAAAAATTTAATTCAGCTCAAACACAATCATTGCAGGTTTGAAAATGAGTTGTATACTACAATTATGTTACTTAGGGACAGAAATTAAGGACATAATTAAAGAACTAAACTATAAAAACCAGAGTAAATGCAAACTTTAAAACAAAAAACTTAGTTCCCTGGCTGGTGTGGCTCAGTTAGTTGGTTGAGTGTTGTCCTATGCACCAAAAGAATGCCAGTTTGATTCCAGGCCAGGGCACATGCCCAGGTGTGGGTTCCATCCCCAGTTGGGGTGTGTGTGGGACTGACTGATGTTTCTCTCTCTTGCCCTCTCCCTTCCCCTCTGTAAAATCAATAAAAACATTTAAAAATAATAACTTAGAGATGGATTCTGACATGCATTAATTTACAGTGGTACCTTGGTTTTCGAATGTAACCCGTTCCGGAAGACCATTCGAGTTCTGAAATGTTCGAAAACCAAGGGATCCACAGCCGACAGCCGGGCCTCAGGATGTTGCCCTCAGCGGAAGCCGTGTGGCGTGTTCGACTTCCGAGGCGGGTTGGAAAACCGAAGCGTTTCCTTCCGGGTTTACGGCGTTTGTAACCCGAAATGTTCCTCAAAGGAGACGTTCGAAAACCGAGGTACCACTGTGTAACAGGAATGTGGGTGGTGGTATGTTTCTTAGATGGCTGACAGAACCATGAGGTGCCAGGCACAGAATACCACAGACAACCAATTCTCAAATTCACCTGTTTACTTTCCAGTTACTTTTAGTATACTTTTAAAATATGCCTTAGTTGAGTCAGAAAATATGTCTGAAAACAGCAACTAAACTTTTGGTTTAAATACTAACCATTTCAAAATTCATCTCATTTCCAATTCCACCAAGTAATTAGATCATAATACCCAAGACACTAAAACATAAGTGGTTAATATTATTTCCTGATTGGTCAAAACTCAAGCTTGTTATTCTCCAAATACATAAAAATCCCTTAGGTATATTAATTTTATTTTATATTTTTTCCTCAGATCATGTATATTTTAAGCACACAGGCTAGAATTAGGCATAAAATACATGCTTCCTTTCCTTCCTAAAGGGAGTATTTTGTGC